ATCATTTTACTTGAGGTCTTGACCTCAGTTTACTCTAAATGAGATTTACTTCTTAATAATTATTTAGTGGACATAAAAACGTTTATTAGAAACTTGTGAGAAGAATACAAGTGTTTTTTAGGCAAAATGTTGGCCCTTTTAGGGTGAAAAAACCCCCACCAAAAATAGTAACAAATGTGTAGCTGAAATTGTTAGCCTTGTAGCAGTGATTGGATAAAAATAGCGGGGGGGAGATCATGACCACTTGTTTTCCATCATGGCTCCCCTATGGATGTTGATGGGTGGTTTGTAAAATCTCTGACATCCGTTCAGCTGCAAAGGCTTTGGTGCCTGAGCGTTTTAAGTGGACTGTTCGGTCATCTGAAATCTCTGTTTTTTTCTTTGGTATTTTGTCATTGTTTTTCTCATGGTTTTTATTTCCACGAAGTTCATCTGAACAGGCACTTTCTTTTTAAAAAGCTTTTATTTGAAATATTTACCCTTCAAGAATAACAGTTAAGCCATTAATGTGATATCGGAGCACTAAGTGATAGGATTTGCAGATGGGTCTGAGAAAATGACTAATTTCCTTTTCGTCTTTTTTTTTTTAGTTTTTATGGAATTGAACTTTAACCATAGTAGACTTTGAGCAGAGGTTTTTTATTTTGAAAGCAGCAGAAAGAGAAGGAAACAGTTGATACTGGCAAATGTTGGATTGGGAGATAAAGAGGGCTACAGCCTACGTCATGGCTGACCTCTTTAAGGAGAAGCGAATTATATGGGTATTTCCATTAGAAGACCTTTTATGTCCTGAGCAGAAAGCTAGCTGCCTGGAGATGTAACAGCAAGTAAGGAGGGGACACATGGTTGTTAAATTCTCACTGGATTTAAAAAGATTCCTAACCCAGCCACTGCAGTCTGGGGCTGGTTTTGTTTTATTTTTTTTCTTCATTTTCTAAGGTAGGTGATACTTGGGTTTTTGTTTCTGAGATGCCTCTGTAAAGGTGGTATTCATTTTCTCCTCTTCTGGCCTTTTATACCACGGCAAAACTAAATTGCAGCAGTGAACCGGCAGTTCATATTTTGTAAACTGTCTTAAAATAACCATTAGGTTTGTGGCTTTCAGCATCACACAGTCCCTGAACCTCCCTGTCCACTGTGAGTCTTTGACAGGAGCCTGTGGTTGCCACACCTGTGCAAAATAAGCCGGTAAGAAACCGTGATTTCGTCAGTTTCCTGTCACAGTGAGCAGAGATTGACACTGGTGGCTCCACGAGCGTGGTGTCTCCACATGCTTTCTGTAATGGCAGAAACAACACGCTCTGGCATAACTGTGCGCTCTGTGGGACACCCCCTGCCTCCAGACACCATCCCCCTCCCACCCTTTTTTTAAAAGTAGTTAGATATTTCAAGTATGTGTGAAATGCTGTGCTACATTTAATGGTTTATAGTCCTTAAGCCCTTATTGTACCATCTTTCTTTTGTTTTTACTACAGAATATATAGTAAGTAAATATATAACTTTGTTTGCAGAGAGTTTTTTTGTTTTTTTGGTTTTTTCTTTTTTTGCGGTACGCGGGCCTCTCACTGTCGTGGCCTCTCCCGTCGCGGAGCACAGGCTCCAGACGCGCAGGCTCAGCGGCCATGGCTCACGGGCCCAGCCGCTCCATGGCATGTGGGATCTTCCCGGACCTGGGCACGAACCCGTGTCCCCTGCATCGGCAGGCGGACTCTCAACCACTGCGCCACCAGGGAAAGCCCTGCAGAGAGCTTTTTATGTATCTTCTTACTTCAGTATTCCTTGAATGAGAACAATAGCAGTGAATGAAGGAACGGAAAATAATAGGTCAGTGTAAAAAAGGATCAACATTTAAAAATTAGTAAATTCTATTTTTTCAGAGCAGTTTTTAGGTTCACAGCAAAATTGAATGGAAGGTAGTTTCCATGCCAGTGACCCCTCCCATGCACCTCTCCCCCGACTCCACCTACACAGTGCATAGAGTGCCCGCCTTCCCCACTGCCAGCATCCTCCCCAGAGGTGTATTTGTTACCGTTGATTAACCTGCCCTGGCACAGTATTGCCGCCCCAAGTCCAGGGTTACACTTGATGTCCACTCTTGAGGTCGTTCGCTCTGTTGGTTTGGACAGATGTGTGGTGACATATGGCCACTGCTGTAGTGTTGTGTAGCATATTTTCATTGCCCTCACCGTCCTCTGCTGTCCATTCCCCCCTCCTTTTCCAGAATGTCCTGTAGTTGGAATCATACAGTATGGAGCCTTTTCAGATTGGTGTCTTTTGCCTAGTGATGTGCATTTAAGATTCCTCCATGTCTTTCCATGGCAAGCTCATTTCTTTTTAGTGCTGAACAGTATATTTTTTCTTAGAGATTAGCCAAGAAGCAGTCCACTGGCCACTAGCTCCTTTTAGCTGATAGTTTGAAAGAATTTTCATAATTCAGCATACTTTGAGTCTGTGGATATGTTTAAAATTATAAAGATTTTCATGCTGCATTTTATTTCAGTTTAGATTGTGACAGATTATGAAACAGTAAATATTAAAAAATGACTCAATAACAAGCATATCAGAACATTTACAATCCAGAGAGTGAGGTACCTTCAGTGGTTTTGTAGACTTTCCTTATTTAATTAAGCTTCCATCTCTCCAAGCATCTTTGGGGGACTACTCTTAGCATTAATTTCAGTGCTAAGTTGATATGTAGGTATAAACTTCATTACCTAATGGACATATTTCTGACTAAGTAAAAAATATTAGAGATGGATCTTACTGCCAAGCAATGACATGTCTATTTTAGAAAGTCAGATGTATCTGTAAAGGGAAAAGGAGTTCCTTCAGTGGAATACTTAAAACGACACAGGCTGCAAAGGCAGCCCTGGGAGGAGTTCCTGGCGTGCTTGCGCATGAGTCGTACTGATAAGTGTGTATGCACTGTCAAAGTTTCTGCAAGCTTGACAGTTGTAAATTACATTACCTTACCGTCATTTTTATGTCAGTGATACAGTATGTGTTTTGCATACTTTGTATTATTTATGTATTTAGTATAACATAACCCCTTCTCATACTTGCTAAGATGTAGATAAAGATGATTTCAGTGGGATATGCTAAAATGGCAAAATAAATAAGTAACTTAATAAATATTTAAATTTTTAGGTGTTTTTCTGATATATGACGTTTTATATAAATACGGTTAAGCTTTTTCATATGTAAATAACAGACTAATTAGCAAAAGAATAATGAAAACGGAATGTGTGTAACCTTCATTTTATAATGCATTTTGAGAATATTAATTTGCAGTAGCACTGTGAAATATTGATTATATTATATGTAGAATGGTGCTAAGTCTGGAATTAAAATTTCTTGAATAAAACTAAAGTGTTTTAGTTTTTTTGGAATTACTGGATTTAACTTATAAATTATATAATAAGTTTAAGTATCTGCATAGCATTGGTGTTAGAATTTTCTTTTCTTCTTTTCTTTTTCAGGCTCAAACTGCCTTTTCTGCAAACCCTGCCAATCCAGCAATTCTATCTGAAGCTTCTGCTCCCATCTCTCAAGATGGAAGTAGGTTTATACTTTGGGTTCATTCTCCTTGAACAGAGATACTTGTTAAGCCTTCTTTTGCTGAAATAGGGAATCCAAGATTTTTTTTTTAACATATACAGCATGAAATGGTGGTTAAAGCTCTAATAGTAAGAAGAAAAAGAATGTTCATTTCAAAAAATAACCCTTTAATCAAGAAAGTGAACTGTGACTATGAAGGTGTGTTTTATGACTTAATGAAAATTAAGTTAAATGGAACTCGCTGGCTGAACTGTTCTCTCTTTGCAGGGCTCGGGGCGGGGGGGGGGGGGGGGGGGGGGGGTTGGTAGAGTTGAAATTTCCAGCCGCCTCCTTTTGAGGGAACTTCCCAAATCCTGGAATCTCTCCCCGGGTTTCATATTCTTCTTTCCTGGTCCCTTTTCCTTCTAAGTTCATAGGGATTCAGGGCAGAACCCTTAAATAACATGACTTAAGATACAAAAGGAGTGTTAAATGGGTTTTTATGGCCTGTCATCTTACAACATTGTTTCTTTTAGAAAATTCATTTTAAGTCACAAAGCATGTCAAAAAGAGCTTTTGAAAATAGTACCTGACTTTACTACTCGGTTAAATACTGTCAGTATTGAAATGTACTGTTTCCAAGATTTCATTGGTATGTGGTTTTAACATTCTTAAAATGATACGACACTAAATAAATTTACAAGCTTTCAGTTTGTTTTTTGTAGTTCAGAAGAATCATTTCATAGCTGTGTTTACTGAATGAATTTAAAAAGTAGTTGACTGGACAGTGTACATGTTGGTCAGTTCTTAAATGGAGAATCAGTGGTATGTTTACAAAATTCCTAAGCAAATAGGTTTAAGAAAAAGGAAAGGCAAGGTAATTTGGAAAAATTATTTCTACTCTTGAGTATTGGGAAATCTGAGGTTTCAGTTCAAATGTCTTATTTTACTTTCATCTTTAACTTTTTCTATATTTTCCACCTCTAATTGTCATTACAGAGAGAGTGGGATTTTCCCGATTGCTAATTTAAATCCATCTTAGATTTTATAAGTTAAATGTAATTTTTTAACACAAGTAAAAGTCCATAATAACAACAGTTTTTGACTCTTCTACCAGTGTTTTTTCTGTATTCATTTATTCGTTTATATTAGATCTCTATCCTAAACTGTATCCGGAGCTCTCTCAGTACATGGGCCTGAGTTTAAATGAAGAAGAAATACGTGCAAATATGGCCGTGGTCCCTGGAGCACCGAGTCAGGGGGTATGTATAGTGTGATTTTGAAGTATATGACATCATACTTTACACGTAGATATAAGCTAACTCGTCTTTGTGGCTGACTCACAAATGTATAACTTTAGCATTGACCTCTTCTCAGGAATTTGTGTAGTCTACTTACGTGCTATGACCGCTTTTCTAATTTATTAGGAGTTAAAGATTCGGGTGCCTCTGACTGGTCCATCCTCCTTCATCTTCTGCATTTAGTCAGTTAAAGATCTAGTGATTCTGTTTCTACTGTGTGTCTTCTATTCATGTAATCCATTCCAGTCCTGGGTATAACCCTATTCAGGGTTTCTATACTTGTAACCTAGATTATTATAGTAGTCTCTGACTTTTCCTCTAGTAACTTCTTATATCAAACAGTACTAGGCTGCTGCTAGACTCATCATTCTGAAATATAGGTCTGTCATACCTTCTTTTTGCTCATAATCTTCTAACATTAAGTCTAAAGTTCCTTGTAATTAGACACCAAATTCTCGGCTTAAATATAGTGTATCTCAGTCTTTTGTTAAGATTATTGCGATAAGACCATAGTACTTTATAGCATTTGTCATAATTATAGGTAAATGCTTAACTTCATGTAGATGGGGTCCATGTCTGTGTTGTTGCCATGACCCCAGTGCTTAACACAGTACCTGGCTTTTATTTATTCACCAAATATTTATTAAAAACTTATATCAGTCAGGACAGTTGGGACAATAGAAACCACACTGCATTTTTCAACAGAGATAAGAAATCACACAGACAGGTTGAAGAATTTAAAAAAGCAAAAGTGGAACGCAGATGTAATTGCAGAAGGTAGCTGCTTTTCCTGGGACTGGGGCGCTACACAGGGTGGAGGTTGGAATTATCAGAGCTGACAGGCATGGTGGAAGAGCCCCGTGACCTGGGCCTCAGAGGCGGGGACCCTGGCTGTGGGTACTGGTGCCTCTGAGGGGTTGTGCCAGGGAGGCTGGTCCTGGGAGTGTCAGTAAAACCTGGAGAATGGAATCAACTGCTGTCAGCAGCGTTAAGGGATAGACGCAGGCAGGAGGAACGCGTATGCTGGGTGCTAACCAGAAGCCCCCGGCAGAGGAGTGTGTCATTTGCATGGTCAGGCCCCAGCCGCACCAGCTAGGGTGGGTTTGGAGCTGACAGTAGCTTATACTTGGTGCTGCCTGCTCCTCTGACCATTCAGTATATCCACACGCTTCCTTATAGTTTCCCCTTAAAAGATGCAGTTCTTCCTAAGATTGAGGTTCAGCAAGTATTTTCTATTAAGGGAACCATGGTAAGTATTTTAGGCTTTGCTAGCCACATATGTCAGTACAGACAGAGAACTCGAAGGCCTTCAGGCAGAAGTGGACTTGGCAGACCTAGAGACAAGGCCTAGGGGATGGGCAGACAAGGCAGAACATGGCAGCAGATGGCATTGGAGGGGCTGGCATTGGAAGGGTAGTCAGGGCCAGGTGGCCTGCAGCCTCGTAGAGCATGGTAAGGGATTGGGCTCTGAGTTGTGGGAGTGACATAATCTGATTTATTTTAAAAAGGTTTCTGTGCTTGCTGTGTGGCGAATGAACAGAGGACAAGATGGACGCAGGGAGACTATCTGGAAGGTTATTGTAGCTGCCCTTGGCAGGAGGGGGCAGAGGTCACGTGGTGTTGATCATGCGGTCTTCTTAGTGAGAACGCTAGGCAAGTGCTTAACAAAACTTGCTGGAAAGAATGAAGATTTCTTTTCCAAAAGTAAAGCCTGCTCCATAGCTGCTCCTTTTTTTGTCCTATATTCCAGCTAAACTAAATAATTCATTTGCTTAAGTATTTCTTTTTCTATCCTATTACCTAATTTTCCTGTGCTCTTACAGCTATTATCATTGACTTTTTGTAATTCTTCAAAAGTTACATTTTCTGGTATTGTGTTCTAATTTGTAGTATAGCTCTGTGTGTGTTACTCCGATAGACCATCAACTTTAGAATATGGTATCATAATTACCATGAATTGTGAACGAAAAAATTTGCAATCTGTGGTATGTGTGTAACTGAGGTTCC